TGATTGATTTCAGAGACCCAGATGGACTCGTCTAATACTCCAGGAGGAGCTTTCTGCTTTTGTTTTTACTTTTGTAGATTTGGATTCAGCTCTTTTATGTTTGATCAGAAGTACCAGACTCTCTCTGGGAGTGTTTTTGTTGTATGTGAAGCTTTTTTCTGAGTGTTGGTAACAAGGGGAGGCTCTTGGGAGAGTGTTGCACATGTTGATGACAGGATTTCTCACTTTTTGTAAACAAAGAAATTCAACTTTAGTTTTTTCTTTTTTATCATTTATAGAATTATATTCAGGACGCACGATATATCGGCGATCACATCAGTATCGGCCGATATTAGTGTTTTTTTTACCATATATAGGTGAACAAATTTGATGAAAAACCAATGACTGTCTAACATCAGCTCCTTCGTCTCTACATTAGATGTTGCTGCTATTTCACAGATGTTTGACTGAAATGATCCTGGACCTGAACGTTAAATATGTTGAAATATGTTTTACTTTTGTTACATCATAGAGAAGACTATGTGGTCTAATCTGGGCTTCTTTTGAATAGTTTTCACGTCCTCACAGTGCTTACGTATTCTCATCTTTTGGTATGAACAAAAATTGAATATCGACATCGGTAATATCGGTTATCGGCGATATCAGAAATCTTAATATCGGATATTGGTATCGGCCAGAAATTTGAATATCGTGCATCACTAATTTATATCTTTGCTCGACTGCACTAAAGAAATATTTTGCCATTTCGCACTAATCAGCAGAAACAACATCTCAATCCTCTGAACCCTAAAACCCAGTGTGGATTTGAAAAGTGTGCTGTCTTTAAAATAAATTTCCAAAATTACACCATTTATTTGAGCCAAAAGCTGTGAAAATGGAAAAAATGTAGAGATAGCCATGTGTTATGTATTGTTTTGGACAAAAACAACCAAATTTGAGCCTAAAATTGTAATTTTTCGTTAGATTCACTTTATTCTTTCATTTAAAATTCTGTCAAAATGAAAGCAGTTTCACCAGATTCTGTAAAAAACTAAAAATTCTGCACTTCACGGTGAAACCATGAAGATATTAGAAACTCAGCTGCAGCAAACAGATAAAAGACAAACATTCTGTGACTTTTTGGCTGAACTGCCGGCTGTGCAGGTCATAGACCTTCTGCTATTACGTGCTTTAAGATGACCAATGTTGAGAATTGGTACAACATAAATATAATTAAATCAAATGCAATTAAAATGTCTATAGTATGTAGGGTCGCCACGTTTTTTGCCAGCATTGGTACCACCGCCGGACATTTGGAAAAGCACATTTTTGTCTGATTTATGCCACCATACTTGTGTCATACTGCACAAAGACATTTATTTTTGAGTTCTTTCTACTTCTAACTATGCTCGTGCTGTTTGTGTAGAGGTGCAGAACTTTATGTTGCGATAAAATTAGCAAAAATGTGGCAATAGCAAAAAAACAACAACGTAGAAACTGCTCAAGGTTCAAAAGGTTATTCGGTTTTTCATTGTCAAGGCTTAAAACTTCAGGAAATCTGCCTAAAAGCTTTAGAACTATTCCCTCCTCCCCATGGGAGAAAACGTAAACCCCTCGTGTTTTCTCTCTTGCAGCTCTCCCGGGACTCTGTAATACGAGTCCCTAGTTAACAAAGAGGAAGTTTCTTTACGTCCCACACGATCCCAGAACGTTTACATTTCAGTCTTTGCTCAGCTGTTGCCGCCTCAGACTGTCCTCCGCCGCGTTGGACTCATGTTAGCCGCAGCTGTCACGGTTTCCCAAACGCCGGGGTCGGAGGTCGAGCTGCCGGCCTCCGCAGACCGGTTCCCATTTGGTTTGGTAACGTCAGAAACCAGGAGCTGAGCTGCCACAGTGTCTGATGGGTTGTTTTCACAGCGTTTTCCACTGTATCAGCGCCATGCCGCTTTTATTGCCCTCTTCCGGAGTTTAAGTGATTTCTCTTTGGTTAGATAACGCCCAGTACCCTCTTTTTTTTTTTTTTTTTTACTCCCAGAAGACAATACAAGCTCCCCCCTCGAAGAAAAAGAACTTGACGGTTGTTCGCTCAACCGAACGAGGTTCCCACAGGGTCAGAACCTCTCAGTCCGTCACCTCCGTGTTCACACAGCCTTCGCTCCACATACATGAACATTTTTTTTCCCCGTTGTCCAAACAGCAGAGTTTCTGTGTCATCGCACACATCCACAACAATGGCATTTCCCATCACGTGCGCCGCGCTCGGCTCTTCAGGCTGTAAGCCAACAACAGCTGTAACAATGCAGCAGTTAAGGGCTCATGTACGGCGTCGTAGTTTTAAATGGAAAATGTCATTTTGTGCGAGAGAATGAAGACGTTTTGGCTCGTAGAGGGGAAGAACTTCGACACTTGAAAATGTCAGATTCTCAGCAGCGATGAAGAGCAGCTTTGTTTGCAAAATTGAGCATTTTTGAGCTTCAAAATGTGGAGTTGAGAGGTTTTGACGGGATGATTGATGTATGCAGTGGCTGATTGGTTCAAGTGTCACACAGCACATGTTGGGAAGAAAAAAATACCTCACGCTGGGCTGCCTTCATGTGTCTTTACTGTCAGAGTTGAAGGTCTCATGAAATAGTTTAGAGTCTTTAGTTTGTGCATCAAACAGGATGTTGGGGTGGAAAACACAGAGCGGGGTTTAAGTTAAGAAGTAAAGAGTACAAACTTATAAAATTCTCTGTCACACCCACTCAGAAAGGAGCACAAAGGAGGGGGAGTCTGCATCAGGTTTCAAGTTACACTAAAAAAACAAACACAACAACAACAAAAAAGCCTATGTAATGCTGGCTGAAATAGTGCAAAAAAAGGAAAACAAACAAAAAACAGTGAAATACTGTAATGTTAAAAAAAAAGAATAAGTATCTGAAAAAAATTTAAAATATATATATACATATTAGGCCATTGACCAAATATTGCTTGAAAAATTTAAAAAAGAAAAAAGAAAGATTTTGATAACGACCATTTGTTAAAATACTGTTTTGCTTGTTTGTTTGTTTTAAATAGACAATATTCTTTTTTAGTCTTTTTAAAAATATATTTTAACAATTAACCATTTTCCCTCCACTTTTAGAATTATAGTCAAATTAATACGTTTTTTCTTATTTTACTATTATTTTAAGTGATTTAACAAAACAGGTAAAATCTGTAAAATAACAGTAAATTGTAAAAAAAAAAAAAAATCGCAATAAAAAATGTTTAAAATAATTTTTTTTTTTTTGACAGGGCATGTATGCTGGAGGCTTTAAAGCAGGAGAGACCTGCTGATAAATCACAAAGCTACAGCTGCTGATTATTCATTATTGACTCCTCTGATGGTTTTACATGTTGAAAAATGCTCCGTTTAATTTAAGTGACGATGTCAAAGTCCAAAGCCCAAAGACATTCAGTTTACAGTCATTCCAGAAGAAAAGAAAAGCAGCAAAAAATGAACCTTTAGAGCCTGAATTACAGTATGTTTAACTTTTTAGTTAAAAGAATTTGGTTTTAATGTGAAACAAGCTGCTAAATATTGAATTAAATGATATTAACGTCAGCTGTTACCTGCAGGTTCGACTTCATCGTTATCATTTGAACTGATTGAGATCATTAATCGTCTGTATAGCAGCTGGATCAAACTATCATCCAAACTTCCAGTGTTTACGCCTCTTCTTCTTCTTCTTCTTCTTCTGGGGTTTAACTTCATCAACTGTTTATCTCGAGGCTCTTAACATCCAATATTCATATTCTGCCTTTTGATGAGCATCGTTTGACATCAATGTCATAAAACTAGCTGCACCGCCGACGGCACGTTTTGGTTTTAACCCAAATGAAGCAGGGGAGCCCTGGAGGAGGCGATCTGTCGGATTAGCAGCATGAAGGCGGCAGCTGAAGGCGTTAATACGGCTAATGTAAAACTAATAGAGGCACAAGATTAACAGAAAAACACAGATTAATCATCAAGTATTTGAATGAAGCCTACGTATACGTCCCTGAGTGCAAAAAATATCAAACATAGCATATTTGTGGACACATACAGCACCTTCAAAACTATTAACCGCATTTCCAAGTTTAAATTGTGGTCGACATAATTAGATTTCTGGCAAAAATGTACCAAAAAAAAGACTCTTTCATGTCAAAGTGGAAAGAGATTTCTACAGAGTAATGACATTTAATTAAAAATACTAAAACATAACACTAAGGGCTGAAGAATATGCGATAAAATAATTATTTTGACTGATTTTGTGATTGGGACATGATTTTAGAGGGATTTTTTTTATATTTCTTTTCCACTAAAACAAATATAATCCACAAAATATGCTCACCTTTGCCCAGAGAATATGATTTGTAGGTTAGGAAGTCTCTGTAACACCACAATGCTTTATCTGTAATGGTATGTTGTGGCATATTTTACATTTATCAATGAATTTCAGATGCTACAGTCTTGACTATATGTTGATAGTATTTTAATCAGCTGATCAGCTCAAATATGAAACTGTCAGATCTTAATATCGATGTCATTTTGCATTATTACTGTGTCGATAGTTTCTGCAATATCAGTTTTTTAATTTAGATATATAATATAATGTACTACTTTAGAGTCATTGCCTGTATTCCTTCCTATTCTCTATTATAGTCTTATTCCAGCGTACTGATTTAAATTCTTAGTCATATCTCATACCTAAATCTTCTGCTTTTCTCTTTGGCATTACATTTATTCTCATCTTTTTTTTTTCTGAGCAATATCTGGCACAAGAGTTTCCTCCACAGCTAATACAGTTCTAACTTAACTTTAATATAAACAGCTGTGACTATCATGATGCTGCATCGTTGCCTCTTGAGAATCAGAACCGGTCCTACAGAGGATTCTTGTTCTGAGGAGTCAGCACCTCGCTGTCTATACCAGAGTTGCTCTTCCTCTTTATTATCAGGGCTGCTCCACTATCTCTAACATCTCCAGTATCTCTAACATCTCCTCTCCTTCTCCACAGGGTCAGCTGTCTCAGGCTCTCAACGGCCTCTCGGACCGAGCCACCGAGGCCAAGGAGTTCCTGGTGCAGCTCAGAAACATGGTGCAGCACATCCAGGTACTAAAACACAGAAACGCACACAAACGTGCGGGGTTTTTTTCTTGATTGCGAGCTCCTATAATCTGCATAAACTGCTGGAAATCCCTCTAAACTGTGTCGGCATTTTGTTTCTAAGCTCCGATCCCACACATTTTGTAATCCTCGGCTCGGACTGAGCTCCTGATAGAACACTAGAATTTAATTGCATCAAAGTTTGGCTGCACGTTCAGGTGCACGGAGTCATGCTCAACACATCGAACAGCTAACTGGTTTCAAATACGTGAGCCTTTATATTGATTCAGGCGTAAACATCTCCTCATTCACACTCATCGCAGGCTTAAGTCCAACATATTGACAGGGACTAAATTTAGACCCTCGTGCGCAGACGAAGCTGTTTGAGATTATCGGAGGACGGTGGGATTAAGAGTCCCGTCTGATAACCGTCCAGCACGGAGACCCTGAGACACGAGGGTGGAAGAACTCTGAGCCGGAGGAGGTGAAGAGGAGGAGTGAAAACATGAGACGTGTGAGAACGGACGGCGTTGCTCAGTGATCCCGTGATTCACGGTGATTTTACTCTCACACTTTCTCTGATAGATGATGCAAGCGGAGGCAAACTCACTTATTAAACTTTGCTATAAATCTTATCATGTCGACATTTCAGTGTTTATCCTGCGACTAAATTAATGTCCCTAAAATCCCCCTTTGGTGCTGCGTACGCCAATAAATCCCCGTATATTCATCGATGCTTCACTTCTGCCTGGTCTTGTGGTTTTTGTTTTAAATGAGAGTCAATATAATTTGGCCTTTTTAACTATGAAAACCATTTTAAATATCTAAAGTTTAGGATAAAAAAAAGTCAAGCTGATGATTTGAGATGGAATAACCCAAAAATATGAAGGCCACAGGAGCAAACAAAGCCATTTAAAACATGTACATGTTGTCATTTTTCTTAAAAATGTCACCGAAGGAGGAACATTTGATAAAAAGGAAAACTCTTCCAAAGTTACTGCAGAGTCACAATCTTCTATACCCTTTATTCTCGATTGTTTAACAGTTACAAGTAGATTTTTCTCAGGATAAGATGCTAAAAAGCTAAAAGATTTACAAATAAAGACTCTTTAATGTCAAAGTGAACCATATTTCTACAGTAGTATTTATTTTCTAATTTTTTGATTGTCATTCATTACTTGGATTTTTTTTAAATTGTACATATGGAAACTGTTGTATTCTCTTTTTCCTGCTTGATTTTTTTTTGTATATTCCTATATAATTATTTATTTTGTGCTCCTGTGATAAAACTTGTCGATCATTAAAGTTTAACTAAGTCAACAAAGTCATTTCCAATAATTAATATAATGTCAGTTGATTTTAATCACATCACATAATGCTGACTAGAAACACAGGCTGGATGATATTTTTACGACATTCTGAATATTTTAAGTCATATTTTTTGCATTTCTTCTCCACTGTAACAAATAAGATAAAGACGATGATTTTTGCTTTACCACTCGAGCATGTTCCCCCAACACGACATGGTTTGTACATCAGGACGTTTCTGCAGCACAGAAATGCTTCATTTATTAAAGTATGTTGTGATACTTTTTGCAGATCTGAAATCTGGATACCAGACTGGTCCATGTTCGATTTTGATAATAATTTTATCACCTGAAATATGCGACAAGTACATCTTAACAAGAACGTCATTTGCAACATTACTGATTTATGTTTCTGTGTTTGTTTGTTTGTCCTGCAGGAGAACGGCGTGGAGTTCGAGGCCTGTCTGGTGGCTCAGTGCGACGCCCTCATCGACGCCTTGAACCGACGCAAAGCCCAGCTGCTGGCTCGCGTAAACAAAGAGCACGAACACAAGCTGAAGGTGAGCGAACACCATGAGACTTCTTTTTACAAATTATTTCCAGGAAAATCTAATCTCCTGGATGCACATTAACCCTCTGAACCAGGCAGCTTCTGGCAGTTCTCAAAGTCTCCTGTCACATTTTCACTCGACTAGAAGTAAAGAGAAATCAAACATAAATGTGCTTTTACAGTATGACGCAGTTTGAATGCTAGAAATGTCTTTAAAAAGTGGGGAAAAAAAACTGGAATACATATTTCGAAGTGCCCACAGATGTTAGCAGCACTGGAGAAAAAAACCACAGTGACATTATATATTAATTTAGTGAAAACACAGCCTGCAGTTCAGCCGACAAGTCCCTACATTTTTGTCTTGTGCTTTTTAGTCGTAGCTGGGTCACTAATATCTATTGCACCATAAACTGCCCAATTGATAATTTTGAATACAATCTGGTTTAGACAAACATTTTTTATTTTTTGGGCAAAATTTTCAATGAGAAACAGAATAAATTGAACTTGATGAAAATGTTAGGTTCAGATTTGTTTGTGTTTTGTGTAAAACGATACATGATTAGTTCAAAGGACGTTGGAAAGTTGTAAATCTGACGTCTCTTTCTGTTTTTACAGCTTGTGGTTCTGATAAATGGTGTATTTTTTGTGTTTTTTTAATGCCTTTCATATCCACAAGTGGGTTTTTGAGGTTCGACGTGTTAAGACGTTATCTCAACTGCAAAAAAAATCAAAATAAAAAAGCAAATTTGGTCGTTTTTTCCTTTAAAAGTTACTGTTTTGAAGCTGGATCTCAAGTTTTATGTGCTTGCAGCTGAGACTGATGATAATCTGCCTCAGCAACTCAGATTTCATATTGCAGTGAAAAATAGAAACTAGCGGCTCCCTGATGGGTACGAAAATCTGATTGCAATGACGTAAAATGAAACTCAGCCTCTAAGGAATAGATGTTAAAAGTTGTTGGTTGTATCGTTAAATTCTGATCTGTATCGTAATTGACTTTAAAAAAAAAAAAAAACACCACGTTTCCAGTTGCAAGCACGTTTTATGTCATCGGTCGGCCGTTATAAAGATCTGAAGGAGCTTTATGAGAAATCGAAGTCGACTGCAGTGATTTCAGATGCATAAATTGGTGCGTTTTCCTACAAACCATCTGCAACACAATAAATACAAGCGAGAGGAGAGCCGAGCAGAGATACATTTGTGCTGTACAGCATCCAATTTCACGCTTGGACTCTCGGTAGAATCGATGTTTCACACGTGTAGGTGGTTTAAGGAGCGCAGCCTGTGCATGGAAACATGGGAGCAGATCCACATGCAGCACTGACAGGTTTCTTTATGCTGCCTTTTAATTTCTTTCACATGTGACGCTTTTCATGGAGGCAGCTTAGAAAACCTGCACTTGTTTGCATTTATGAACCTGAAGGTTTCCTCCAGGGAGAAGCTGTGATTGTCACCTCTTGATTTATATCCTGGGTTTTACATTCCTGCAATCTAAGAGTAATAAACACACACAGGAAACATTTTCAAGGTAGTAGAATTCATCATTTGTTTTAACTTCTATGAATCCGGTTGAGCTTTTCCTTCTATTTGACCATAAGTGTGGCAGATAAATATCCAACTGATCAACAACAGCTTGCTAACTAGGACACCAACTGACAGTAATAACAACAATAACAGCATCGGTTAAAATAAAGCGAACCTTGTTCTCGCTGCACACCTTGTAGGCTGAGGTGGTAAAACGGAGCGTTGGGTTTGTGGGCGGTTTGCTGCAGTGTCAGCGATAATGCAGGACTGTCGTGATGGAGAGGAAGCTGAGCCAGATGGCAAAGCTTTCGGTTTTACCAGCGAATCTGCATTTCCAGCCTTCGCCGACGACCGTGAGCTCTGAGGAAATAATGAGATACGTCTCTGCCTTGGAGATAAGGTGAGGTCTTAGGACACCTGGAGGAAGCGACTTGACCGACTGAGGTGGTTGGAACATCTTGTTAGGATGTTTTCTGGGGACGTCCAGCTGGGAGGAGAACCAGAACTCACCAGAGGGATTACTAATCCTATGTGGCCTGGTGGAAACCTCGAGGAACTGGAAAACGCTGCAGAGGAAAGCCACGTCAGAAATGCCCTGCTGCCACCATGATGCAACCCTGGGTGAGCGGAGGATGGACGGATGGTGAAAGATTGTTTTGGCAGCTGATTCTGGAGCAGCAGCAGCTTTTAGAACACCGTTCAGTTCATATTAGTTGCTGCTATTTGATGTTAGCTTTGTGAGTAATGTTCAGTGTCCAGAGCTGTAGATCAAATCAGATTGAGTGTGTTTATGTAGGTGGTATTAAAACAACCTGAACTGAAATATGTGGAAACAGCAAGACAGAAAACAGGACGAGAAACTGAGATTAGTAATTACAAAATACTAAAAAACAACACGAACAGGATAAAACTCCATTTCAAAAATACTCATAACTCAGTAAGATGACATTTTCAGACCAATTTCTGCTCAACCATCTCTGATTTAGAGCTTAAATATAGATATCTGTGACATTTCAGATCGATCCGACACATTTTCAGCATCATTTGAGGTTTTGTTGAGCGACGATATCTCAGGAGCTACTACAAAATAAAAGCCTGATATTTCCACTGTGATCGCTCGTGTCAGTGATGCAGAATCTGCAATATATCAGACATGAAGATCAATTAGTTTCTGATTATTGGTGAGCTGAAATATGGAAAAAAAAATTGAAACTGTCTTGAAAAGTTCCAACTTTGAGCACAAATAACAATGTTTTCTGAATCGTACATAGATGCATGTCACAATATTACAAAAAAATATAGAGAGAATACTTTATTGTAAAAAAAAAAAAACTTGATAACAAAACTAGAAAAACTACTTTGTTGTAACTATCATAACTGAGCTGATGTGACAAGTTGTACCACAAAAAAAAAACTAAAAACACTGGTCGACTATCTAATCCAATCAGAACAGAGATGTAGAATCTCAAAATGGTTCCCCAGATATTACTAAGAACATAATCTTTTTTTATATATCGGCATATTTTTTTGTTGGCATAAACCTTGGTTTTGGAGGAGGTCATGTAGTCTGTTTAATTTATTTGGGAAAGTAAATGCAAGTATAACAGAGGTCTGGAGTTTGAAAACATCATTTTAAATACCTAAAGCTTAGAATCAAAAAGTCAGAGTCGAGATGGATTAACCCAACAAGTACAAAAATATTAAGGCCACTGAGCGCAAACAAAAATCATTAAAGACGTACGAATTTTCTTTAAAATGTCACTGAAGGAGGAACATTTGAATTAGGGATGCACGATATATCGGCGACCACATCGGTATCGGCCGATATATCGGTATCAGGCCGATGAACAAATTTAGCCGATGTGAAAAACCAATGATTGTCTTCTTCGTCTCCACTTTTGATATTGCTGCTTTCCACAGATGTTTTTACTTAAATTGTCCTGGACTTGAATGTTAAATATGTTAAAATATGTTATATTTTTGTTAGGTCATAAAGGCTACGTGGTCTAATTTGGGCTTCTTTTGAATAGTTTCCACGTCCTCACAGTGCTTACTTCTACTCATTTTTCGATGTAAACAAAAATTGATTATCGACATCGGTAATATCGGCTATTAGAGATGTCTGAAATCTTAATCAGATATCTGTATTGGCCAGAAATTTGAATATCGTGCATTACTAATTTGAATGAAGCTGTTCCAAAGTTTCAAAGCTGCTTCTGCAAAATTTGCAATCTTCTATATCCACTGTTCCCGATTGTTTAACAGTTAAAAGCAGCGACTCTGAAGATCTGAGATGCTAAAATGCTAAAAGATAAAATTAAAAACAATAAAAACTGCTGCTGTTCCACCCGTTGCCTGCAGGTGTCATCAGAATCCAAATATCAGCTTTCTCTCTCTACCTGTAGGTGGCGCTCAGTTTGAACTCGGCTGCTTTTGCCTGTGCACACTGAACATGAAACCTGTCCTGCTAACGGATGGATTTTCTTTGATGACGTTTCTTGAGGGACACCGAACACCTTCACGTCTCCAATCTGAGGAATTTCGATGCGTCTCGGTGCAGATTTGATCCCACCTGTCAGCTCGGCGCCTCCACGTGTCGCCCGCTGAATCCAAATGCAGGAGAATCACATTTCTCAGTGACAGATTTTATTATTTTTTTGTGCGTGCTGTCGGTGTTGAGCTCCATGTGAATGTGCTGCTTCCTTTCTCGGGGGCTTCCATCACAGGAGTTTCCCTCGGAGACGCTGATGCAAGAAAACTCCTTGTTTCTCTTGGTTTTTTTCCAATCTCCTGGAGGGAAGCACGTTAGGTAAATATCAAGCAGAGAAAAGGGAGGCAGGAAAAAGATGACGGGAGCTTGTTTCCTCCTGTGATTGCAGCCTCTCTGACATGGACAGTCGACGGGATATTTTCTGCTTCATTAGCATGTAGCTCGGTGGCGAAGGTCGTCCTGCACCTGTGTTCGCTGATGATAATGTGCTTTTTCCACACGTCTCATGGGATTTATTAGCAGATGAAAAGCAGATTGTGGCGCAAAACAAAACAGCAGATATGCATTTTATACATGTCCAATTAAGAGACTAATTATTTGTGCAGTTTCGTTCACATGAAGCTCAACATAAAAGCCATAAGAAGCATAGAAAACGTGAAATCGGTTCAATTTAATGGGCTGCAGCTGACTTGGCGTCTCTGACGGAGCTTCCTGCTGCTCTGCCGTGGTCCTGCTGTCGCCATGGTGACCGAGCACGTTGTTTGAAGCTGCGGAGGCGAGAAGTAGTCCTTCACGGCGTGAGTCAGGTCCTTCTTTTTATTATTTTTGTTCCAGCGCATCAGGAGGACTGACCCACGAGTTTGTTTGGAGAGACAGCAGAGGCTCGTCCTTAACCCTCCGAACTCCGAGCATTCTCCTCCTCCTGGTACTTTTTTTTTTTTTACTCACTGTGGGCTCATTCTGTACCGCAATATGAAGTCCTGCACCTCCATGGA